CATGGAGAGCAACAAAAGAAAACTGTAGGTCACACTGTCCTTACTCTCTGAGCTATGCTTACTGCATGTTTCCTCCTGAGACACACAGCACGGAATCTGGCACATCAACATCACCTAAGCATTTCAATTAACCTAGATTCACTGTTTCACTTCTGTCGTCCCAACGCATCCAAGAGACTATAAACCTACCTTGCTAACATTAACTGGAGCTATGAAATGCGTGAAATCAAAGACAGCAAAAGTGAGATGGGGTGTTACTGGGACACACCCAGCCCTTACGCAGCCACTTTGCTCATTTCACACCTCCTTTACCTGATTCTTTGGTATGTGTGATTTAAATACTAACTTTTTGACAGCTGGCATTGCCAACTAATATTTCTGCATTGCTCAGCTAGCAGCCTATGCTGCTTGAAAGAGTGGGGAGCAATAATAAGGCACACCTATCAGAGACAAAGATACCATCCTTCCCACTCGGAAACAGTAGATGTAGGCCTTTAGCTTGTAAATTTACAATATGAAGATATTTTCTTGAACGTTTGCTTGATTACTTTGGTTTGTATTTAATTATACATATGGCTGAGTGGTTTTGTAATTTTATAGCTGGCCTGTGCCCATGATTGATGTGGTAGTGTCGTTCTGACTGAGAGATGGTTTGCAAATGCAGGGTTTTGAAAGGCTGCTTGTATGGAAAGCCACTAGTTGCAATACAACAAATGCCGTATTGTGAATTAAATGAAAGAGTATTTAAAAATATGCTTTTTTGGTGTACTTTGTATAACTGTAATATTTGCATCACAACAACAGTAGAATAAGAAAATCAACGATTGCAGATGAATACTTAATCTTATAAAATATTTCCTTTAAAATACATCCTCTGATATCCCCAAGACATAGAAAGTCAATTACCTTTCTTACTGTCTATTTTCATTAACCTGAAGAGAAGAAAAATGCTTAATTTTTAATCAAAAAGAAATATTTTTTTAATCCTTAGACTGATCAAACACTGGCATTTGAGAAATAAAAATAAAAATACAGCCCAACAAAACAATCTAAATAAATAGAAATAAATCACTAAGCTTATATTCCTTTACTTCCCCATTTCATATTTATGAATCTAAAAATAAAGCTCCTGTTACGCTACTGAAGTAAATGTAGACTACTGGCTGGAGGCAGATGACGATCTTTAGCCATAACCTCCAAAGACCTGAGACCTCATTACCAAGTCACAGCCTCTCGTCCTACTTCCTTCACAGCAGAATGCGATGCCCAGGCTGTCAGAGCAAAGCCTGGGCTCCTCAGCATGCAGGGCCAATGCTCACACACCTTTCCTGTAGTGGTCTGACACAGCTGAAGCTCGTGCGTTTGCTTGGACTATTTGTTTTACTGTCTTTCTTACACTGTTGTTACAACCTGTTTCTCGCTCATTATGAGGTGGAGGGTAGATTTAGATTGGACATTCTTCATAGTGAGAGTGGTAAAACAGTGGCATAGGCTGCCCAAAGAAGTTGTGGATGCTCCATCCTTGGAGATATTCAAATCTGCATTGGAGCTTTGTCTGGTGAGAGGTGTGCTTGCCCATGGCAAGGTGGTTGCACTAGATGATCTTTAAAAGTCCCTTCCAACCCAAATGATGAGAGTCAAATTAATGTCTCTCCACAGAGTTAGTCCAGGAGATCATTGGCACCTCATATGTAAAACCCAATCATGGAACTAGTGCTGCATGAATTGCAACACCTAATTTCTGGGTACCCTACCAATTAGTCAGATCTGTTCCCTCCTCCACAGTACTCTTATGCTCACTTTGCATGGATTGTAGAGAATGGGAACCTAGGAAGAGGATTCACAAAAGTAGCCAGCAGCAAGCACTAAAAACAGAGCAGTCCCTTCTCCAAAGCAGATGCACAAATGAATGACTTATTCCCTTTTCCTTCTCTTGCAAATGCCAGTAGTTAAAGCATGTCTGAAATCCAGATCAAAATTCCTTGTCTTCCTGAGAAGGCCCAATGAGCAGATCAGTGACTTTACTAGTCACTTTACTATTTTTTTAACAACTTGCTTAGAAAAACAGAGACAGTTCTGAAAATGGTCAACAGCAAACTTGTGAGTGCTAGAGGACACCTAAAATACAGATCAATTTAAACAGTGAAAGAATCAAATGGCATTTCAGAGAGCAGAGGAGAAAGGTGAAGGACCCAGCTGTGGATTTGCATGCTTGCAGCTGCAGTCTGCTTTCAGAGCACGCTGTGAGTCTTGGGCTTTGCCTTTCAAAACATAGCAAATAACAGTTGACAATTCACTGCATCAGACTTCAAAACTACTGTATGTGGACAAAGCCAAAACAGCTCTTCCTTAGACGGTTAGTGTTAGGGGTAGGTGTTACTCTAAGAGATGCACGTTATTATAGGCAGAAAAGGTAGAACTGAAAAAAGGTCACACAGGTTGGTGCTGTTTCTTCTTCAAGACATCCGTATTAATTTGTTCAACTAATGTGTTAAAACAGTGTTTTCCTAAACACCAATCCTGCAAGCCAAGGGTAGGAGCTGACTTTCAAAGTGCTCTTTTTACCACTAAATCGTTTATAATGAGTAATAATTATTCTGCTAGTAGAACCCAGCTGATGATTTTGTTGCAGATTTTTGTCACACACAGGAATTCACCTGACACTGCCATTGTGAATATGTCTCTCTAACATTAACACAGTAAAACCTGTTTTGACAGTGACAGCCATGTCCTGAAGGCTGGAGGAACAGATCTATTGGGAAATAATTTCAAGAGGGTACTGATTCACACAGTCACTTTTGAAGACACAATCACACTTTTTTCTTTTGTATGCAAAAAAAAAAAAGCTGTTATGCTTATTTAAGAATTTGGTATTGTGTTTAAGCATTTCCCCAGACAATGTCACTGAATCATACGGCTAGATAAAGAATCAGATTCGTTTTTTACAAACCTTAGCCTAGAGATTAAAAAAAAAAAAAAATGAGGAAAGAGATGTAGCTTACATCTTCAAATTGTCTGGTGCTTGACTGAAAGCTCACTGAAATCACCCCAAAGATTCCTGCTGCCAGTAACAAAACCAGGCATGCGCTCTGTGATCACCACTGAAGACATGTTTCTCATGTTTTGACTTTTATCCAAACCCATTTAAAACTATTCTTTAAAAAATCAAAGCCAAAAACCCAGTAAAATACATTTCTACTGTACTACTTAAAAGAAATTAGTCTACTCAAAAATAGGCTATAAAGGAAGAAATTATTTAAGTAATGTACAGCTTCCAAGGGTTGAAGCGGTAGCTCATGTAACTTTGCGATCCTACTAGCACCTTCATCCTAATGCTAGTAAAAATACTACCAGTTGTGGCCCCTTTGCCTTTTGTCATTTCATCATATGACCACTCGAGCAAATTACGTGATTTGTTTTGTATGAATGTTACAGTGAAGTGGATCCCAAGCTGTTTTGGGGAAGAGAGAACATAGATAAAATTGCACCTCCCAAATTTTCACTGGTTTCTCCCAGAAACCCACCAACTCTTGAATGCATTTCAGTGAAGGATTCAGCACCTGAATCCTGATTTGATGGTTACAGCGTTCACACACACGTGTTTCTGTTAGGTTCAGGGATTTTCATCCCTCCTTCTATAAAGCACAGCCCAGTGGCTGGGTTGGGGTTAACATTCAGATCTGAATCCCTGGAACGGGGTAGGGGGGTTGTTCAGCCCCAGGGTCCTGACTCAGAGCGTTGCACAGGGTGACCTCACTCAGAGCCATGCCAGTGACTCATGTATTTACTCCTCTTTGAATCCTTTTCCTTTCAAGTCAAACTATTTGCCCATTTCCTGACATCAGCTCATTGCCATTCAGCTATCAGCTGCAAGACGTGCCAAACTGAAAAAACGTTAATCTTTTCTCTGTCAGGTCCTTGGCATCTCCACCAGCCAGTGGACTGAAAGCTCACTGAAATCACCCAAAGATTCCTGCTGCCATTAAAAAAACCAGGGCCAGTGCCCTGCACAAAACCTGCAGCCAGTGCCTGTCGTCTTCGCCAGGCTGCCCGGGGACACGGGCTCCATCTCTGTGCCTCCCTTTTTACCACACCTGGATCCCCACCTCACAGCACATCCATCCCCATCACCCACCCTCCTCCTCTTCCTCCCGGTGAGCGCAAGCTGGCCCTGCGTGCAGCCCCTCGTTGCCCAGACACCGCGGCTAAGCCCGAGCTTCCAAAGGCCGCTCCAACCACCTCATCCTTCAGGAGCTTTCCCTCTTCACGGCTGGCCCCGCACAGCCCAGCTCCTTTCCGTGCCCCTAACGTGCCGTAAAAGCGCTTTTCGCCCCTCAGGCAGGAGCCGCGGCCCCAGTCGCACCACGGCCGGGCGGGAGGTCACCTCGCCGACCGCTTCCCCTCGCGGCCCTCCCGGCGCGGTTACAGCCGGCCGCTGAGTGAGCGCCGAGCTATGCGGCCGCTGTCTCGCAGCGCGGCCTTGTGGGTAAGGGAGGCCGCCTCCCGCCGCACGGGGCCGGGCCGGGGGCGGGCGCGGCGGCGGTGGGAGCAGCGCGCTGCGGGCGGCGGGCGCGGCATGGACTGAGCGCGCCGGGGCGGCCCAGGAGGGAGAAAGGGGGAACGGCCGGGCGACGCCGCGGAGCCGCCGCCTCCAACGGGGATCTCAGCTGACGGAGGAGCGGGAGCCGGAACGCGGCGGCGGCCGCCGCTGCTGCTGCTCTCCCACTTTCCCTCCCCGCCCGCGGGCGCGATGGTCCGGCGGGCGGCGGGCGGCGGGCGGTGAGCCGGGTCCCGCCGAGGGGACGCCGCGAGCGGGCAGGAGAGGCGGGGGCGCGGCGGGAAGCGCTCCTTTCCCTTTCCCCTTCCCCGCCGCCGGGCGGAGCAGCGGCCGCTTCCCAGCGCCCTTCATGCCGGGGCGGCCGCGGCGCGGCCCCACCGCGGAGCGCTGCCCTCGGCTCCCGCCCGCCCGTCCAGGCCCGGCCTCGCCGCCGCGTTAGGCCCCGGCCGCGGGGCGACCCCGCGCAGTCTCCTCCTCCTCCTCCTCTCCTCCTTCTCCTCCTCCTCCCCGGCGGCGAGGGGAGGCGGCCCTCCCCCGGAGGATGAGCCAGCAGCTGCAGGCGGGGAAGATGTCGGCGGCTCCCCTCGCGCCGCAGGCTCCGGACTCGGCGGCGGCGGGGATGCTCGAGGGCCGCCAGAGGAAGCTGGAGTCTATGATCCGCGATCCGCGCTCCCCGGTCAACGTGGAGAGCCTGCTGGTGAGGGGCGGCGGCGGGCGGCGGGCTAACAAAGGCGGCGCAGCCGGGCTCGGCCGGGAGGAAGGGAGGGAAGCGCTCCGCATCCTGCAGGGGAGGGCGAAGGCTCCCGCCCGGGCGGGGGGCGGCCGCTCTTCACGCCCGCGGCCGGCCGAGACCCCGAGCGGGGAGCGGCCGGGCCGAGGGCACCGTCCTGCCCGGCTGTGGGGCCCCGCGGGGGGGAGCGGGGTTTGTTTGGGGCCGAGGGAGAAACGCGTCTCGACGCCCAGTGCGGCGGGGAGGGCTCCGCGCCTCCGGCATCACCTCTGCCCCGCCGCTCCGCGCCTCCCGAACGCGCTGAGTGCGGCCGGGTGATTCCCGGCTTTGTGTGCGCGGTGCCCGGTCCTGGAGCCCGCCGGGAATCGGCCTGTGGTGGGACCCAGGGTTCTGCGTGCTGCAGGGGTAACGCAGGAAGGGGACACGCCTAAGGGAGAAATGTAGCTCGGGGATGGATCCTGCGGGGTCACGTTCGTTTTCCATTGGGACAAATTGATTTCGTCTGTCTCTTATTTCACGTAGCATTTTTCTCTCTCTGTGTGTGTATGAAATATAATTTCCTATACCAAGAAATCCATGCCCTCAGGAAGGAGTGGGAAGGAGTTCTGTTTCCCCGTTTTAAACATTTGAACCGTAGAAAGGCGGTGAGAGGGAATGGTTATTATTATTTAAACTGAACCTCTGGGTCACCAGACCCAATATTTCCACTCTACTGAGAGATTTCCAGTGTGTCCCAGTGAGGAGGAACAGAAAAGGGAGGGCAGATCCAGCCCTTCCAGGCAGGAGTTGCTCAAGACGCTCACAGAGTCCTTTTCCTTCTTTTTTTTTT